TAATTTTTTAAAATCAACAAGGATAGTTATGTCATTTACCATTAATGACACTCCAAATTCCATTTTATATTCCAACATCCAAACTCTATTATAATAAAGACAATTTTACTAATGTAAAAATCATTTGAAACTCTCACTACAACTCAAGTGTTTTCTAATATATAAACTCAAGTGTTTTCTAATGTATCTGTGGTTATGATTTAAAATTAAAAGTAAATATTTAGTCACTACAACTTTTAAGTTTTTTAACTTATGGTTATTAATTGGTAATGTCTATTTATTTTCCTCATATGTATAAACATTGTAGTTATATTACTAGTATATAAGTAAGTTTTGGTCACAAAAAATGTTTATTCAAAATATAGAGTTGAAAAAAATAAGTTTTGCCGCATCAATGGTTATTGTAATGCAAACTTTTGTTGAGATAATAGTGTTTTTATATATGAAAGGTAATTTGATTTCTATCTATTCTTTTTGTATGATTTATAAGTGTTTAAACATTTTTTATATAAATATTATAATAGATGTTGTAGTGTTTCTATGTTATTAAAAGTTATAGTATTTTTTTTGTATGATATATATTATTCTTTATATTTAGAAATCATCATATGTTTGATATACAATTTACACAACTTAAAACGATGTAGAACATAACCAAAAGTAATAGTAATTTTTTCATACAATTTGTTATTAGTTATATAAAGAAATTAACGTATGTCTGATATATTATTTATACAATTTAAAACGGTCTATAAAATAGTCAATTAATGGTAGACATAACTATTTATTTAAAACTATGACACTTAATTAATATGATTGGTTAGCTATAGGTTTGTTTTGCTGATTCTTATGTAAAAATACTGAATTACAATTTATTAAAAATTATTATTCTAACTATATAAATATAATCCCTCACAACATATATGGGTGTTAAATATGTACCAAGGAGTACCAATCAACATGGTATCAACCGAACCAAGAAAGTTGGTTACCAATATATTTGGTAGTCAACATGTTTTGTTTGTACTACCGTACCAATTCAGTAAACTTGGTACGATAATTATATTAAATTTTAAATGCTATGGTAATATCATACCAACCAATATATATATATATATATATATATATATATATATATATATATATATATATAAATGAAATGGAATTTCCAAGTGTCAAGTATGTTCATTGTTTACAATTTTAAAAACGTGATATTAGACATTAGGCAAAGTCAATAGTTATTACAACATTAAATTAAAAAACTGAAAAATTACATAATAAAATTCTTTAGTAACTAAAGTAGTTATTTTACTAATTTATATAACAAAGTTAGGTCCCTTTTGATAAACATCTTTCTAGGTCAAAACATATCTTTCTGGTTGAATGGACCGAAAAATTTGTTTTGAATTGCACACAAAAATGGTATTTCCTGATAAGATATGTTTTTCCTAAAAAGCCCTAAAATCACATCTTTCTAGCTAAATGGGCTGGAAAGACAATTATGACCCAAACATCGTCTCTTTCTTTCTTGGATTATTAATTTATTTTAAATATATATATTTTTAATTTCTTTTCTATTGCATTATTTCCTTTTTACTGGATTATTATATGTTAATAAATACTATTTTTAATATAATATTTATATATTAATTAATATTATTTTATTGGATTATTAATTTCTTTTAAATAATTTTTTAATTTCCTTTTTATAGATTAATTTTTTTATTGGATTATTATATATTAATAAATATTATTTATAATATATAGTATTTATATATTAATAAAAATTACTTTATTGGATTATTAATTTCTTTGAGTTAATTTTTTAATTCATTTTAATTAGATTGATTATTTTGTTAGACAACATCACCATCATCCTAATTTGTTTTAAAAAATCTCATCCATCCCACCACTACCAGGTCAAGAATCAAACGTTGAGTTTTAAATGAATATTGCTTAATTTTGATTTTGTATGACAATTTGTATATTTTTATAATTATTTAACAACTTTATACATCACAAAATAAAACAATAGAGTACTATGATCATTTTTCATCATTAAGCACAATCAGTCATATGTACAATCAAACAGCATAGTTTCTTTACCAGTAAGAAAACTTTCTCAGACAACACTTTGACAGACAACACTTTCGCGAACAACAACTATTAAACGAGACCTTAGTAATATATCATTACCAATTTGTATCAATCAAAGTTGTTGATATCCAAACAAGTTGATATCAAATATATGTGGTACGGTAGTGGTAACAAAAAATTTGTACCAACTATAGTTGGTACGGTACACGATTTAAGTAAAAATAAACTGATACTGTATCATGTTCAGCCCTATATACATACAGATGCTATTTGCTATTTAATAAATAATGTGTTAAATCATCAAAAATGAACTTATGATATGAGTTGTTAATTTTTAAATTTAATATAATATAACTTGTTGATATTTGAAAGTAAATTATTTAATTTCTGAAAAAAGCACAAAATTGATCAAAGGAGAAATGTCAACAACTAACCACTTGATTATGTTTTTTTTTTTGGAAATGGAACTTCCCTAACGAGGGTTTCCGGGCCAGCTTTCGCGCACCGACTAATCCCCCAATGAAAGAACTTACCAAACTAGTTTTGTTTCGGAAAATGAAAGAACTTACCAAACTAGTTTCCCAAAATAAAATAGCTTTGTAAAAGATATTTTACGAGATAATGACTCTTTTGTGACGGTCTGTAGACATTTTGTGATCTAACATTCATTAATCTTGGTCATTTTAATGATTGACCGATTTATATATACAACTTTGGGGGGTGTTTGGGATTGCTTTTCATGCTAAAAAGTTCTTTTGACAAAAGTCGTTTTTGATTTTTTGACTTTTTACAAAAGATAGATTTAAAATGTGTTTGGTTCAAAAAGTCACAAATTCATGACTTTTTCAAACACCTTATTTTTGTTCTTGCCAAAAAGTTGTTTTAAAAGAAATTTTTGAAATGCCAAACATCTTTTTTAACTTTTAGCTTTTTGAAAAAGCTAAAAGTTCTAAAAGTAATTTTAAAAGATTTCCCAAACACCCTCTTGGATAAATACAACGTCTACTTTAACAACTACCTCCAATAAAATATATAAATTGCTTCAACAACTACTACATAGAAAACATTTTTTTAAAGTATCTAAGAAATTTAAACTTTCAAATGAAAAGTGCAGTTTATATTTGGGATAATGACTTGAAAGGGTATAACAGACTTTCGATTTTGTTCACATTTAGTCACTAAATTTTTTTTCATTTTTTATTTGCCACGGAACTATTGAAACTGTTCACATTTTACCCTTATGACCGTTAACAACCGGTCATAAGCGTAAAATATGAACAACTTCAATAGTTCAGTGGCAAATAAAGAATGAAAAAAAGTTTAGTGACTAAATGTAAACAGACTTTCGATTTTGTTCATATTTAGTCACTAAATTTTTTTTTCATTTTTTATTTGCCACTGAATTATTGAAACTGTTCACATTTTACCCTTATGACCGTTAACAACCGGTCATAAGGGTAAAATATGAACAATTTCAATAGTTCAGTGGCAAATAAAGAATGAAAAAAAGTTTAGTGACTAAATGTAAACAAAAGTGAAAGTTCGTTCCCTCTAAAAAAGTTTAATGCTTAAATGTGAACAAACTTCCTCTTGTATTATGTTTTAGCAAATTATTTATTTTTGTTAAATTCTAGCAACATTTGTTGATGAAGAAATCTATGAAATAAAAAAACAAAACCCCAAAAAATATATTAAAAAAACGAAAAACCAAAACCGAAATAAAAAAACAATAGTTTGGTATTTTCCAAAATAAAAAATCAAAATTTTCAATCTGATTTTGGTTTAACAAAAAAATGAACCATTCTCACCCATAATGTCAGTTTTAATTGTTAAATGTATAGCTATTTTTTCTAAAAATAAATATTTTTGTAAAGGTAATATGGATGGAGTGGTTTGGACGCAATACTTCATAAAAGATGTTAACGATTTACTTAACTCTATATGTCTAGTTAAATAATCATAAATTTCAATAATTATTCAAACTTTTTAAAAAATACAATCTCAAATATAAATAAATTGTCCGAGTAAATTAAAAATGTCTAAATTCAAAACAATTTGACTTTCATTTTCAATATCATTTTTAATAGTAAATATACTAATATGATGTATGTCAATACATGGAGTATAACAACATATGTAATGTATCAATGTATATATGTATTCTTTTATAAACAACGTATATGGTTTAATGTATGTCAATTTATGTGTTGCATAATTTTATAACACAAAATTCATACATATAATATTAGGATAACTTTTATACATATAATATTGAATAGTTTCATAACATAAAACTTATACATATAATATTGGTTTTGTTTTTCGTTTTTTATACCTTTTTCGGGGTTTTGTATTGTTTTTTTTTTTTTTTTTTTTTTTTTTTGTATTTCATAGATTTCTTCATCAACAAATGTTGTAAAAATTTAACAAAAATACATAATTTGCTAAACCATAATACAAGAGGAAAGTTTGTTCATATTTAGTCATTAAACTTTTTTGACAAGGAAACGAACTTTCGACTTTGTTCACATTTAGTCACTAAACTTTTTTTCATTATCTATTTGACACTGAACTATTGAAACTGTTCACATTTTACCCTTATGACCGGTTGTTACCGGTCATAAGGGTAAAATGTGAACAGTTTCAATAGTTCAGTGGCAAATAGATAATGAAAAAAAGTTTAATGACTAAATGTGAACAAATTCGAAAGTTCGTTACCCTTTCAAGTCATTATCCCTTTATATTTTACAAGAATTATAAATTTTCAAAAATGAAAATCTTAAAATTTTGAAAAGTAGCTATGTTGTCTATTCTATTATACTAACCCAAAACAATCAAGGTTTTTGAAGAATTGCTAAAAAAAACTTTAAATGAGAAGTTTTATCCATTGAAACATGCTTAACCTTTACCTTTTTACTTCATTTATGGTGAAACTTACAATATTGGATTCAAGGGAATACAATATTTGTTGTTATTATATTAAACAACTTATTCAATCATTCTTCATATACAGACTCAAATATTCCTCAAAGCCCAAGAGAAAAAGGGAAACCGGTGCCTGCTAACCAATTACCACCATTGATAAAGTTTCCGGCAGTAAAACCTCCGGCCTCCGTCGCACTGGTAATCACCCTGTACCCCGGCCATGTCACTCTATTCGATGTATCAGCCCCAGCCCCTGTATTCTGATACTCTCCGTAATACAAGGTATCCAACGCAAAATCCCCATCCCAAGGAAACCATCCTGCTGGGTTAATCACGTCACTAATCGTTGATTGCATCACCACCGTTCTCGAGAAGTTCCTCCATGGTCTACCCAGGTACGACGGAAAGCTTGCTTGAACCGGTATAAGGTCAGACGTAGCTCCTATCCTTGATCTTTGAATCACAATCCCTGTGTTCTGATTAGGGTCGCTCCGGCCTTGAGCTGTAAACATGTTCCTTTGGTTTGGGTTAGGACGACGGGCGTGGATGTCGCAGTCTTGCAACACGGCGGCGGCATTGCCGAAGATGAAGTCAACCGTGCCGGCGATGTAACAGTTGATGTAAAATTGACGATTTGAGTGGACGTAAAGGGTGTCTTGGTATGCTATCATGCCGCATTGGTAGAATGCAGATAGGTCTGACCCGACACGTAGCGCCACCGCTTGATTCCCGGAAGGCCCTGCCGAGTTTTGAAAGGTTACGCCCCGTGCTAGGAATCCGGCACCCACCGCCGCTGCATATAAACAGTTGAAAAATAGAGAGTTAGCATAGAGAAACTTATGTACAAGACAACACATTGATATCATACAACTGAGTAGTACTGACCGACAGTAGCGGAATTGAACGTGGTGACGCCGCCGGCGACACTTCGGCTAGCGGTGATTATTGTGGATGATCTTCCGGCACCCAAAAACATCAAGTTCAGTTTATTACTCGGGATATCCACGTTTTCCCGGTATACCCCTACAGCTATCCTGATCACGTACCTGGTTGTGCTTCTGTTAGGAGCAGCCGCAACGGCAGCAGAAACCGTTGTAAAGTCCCCACTTCCATCTGCGGCAACAACTACGTTAGGTGTCACAGTCCCTGACTGCAACAGCCTCCTATCTCCGGCGGATAACCACTCCGGCCACTCCTCCTTTAACTTCCTGCCGATTGTATTGACTTGATCATTAGCCATATCTGTGTCGGTCATGTTCTTGATCATGGCCAGTGAGTTGCTACATAACCTCCCGGCGTTGATCTCGCCGTCGATAAGCGATTCACGAAGCTGCCTATCATGTTTGTCGTGGGAGAATCCATCGATACATGTTTCTTGGTTGGTGAGAGTGGTGCTCATGAGTGTCATTAAGTCATCGACATGTCGGCGAAGGCGAATCCCTTTCTTGGTGGGATATGTCTCCAGTAAAACGATGACCTGGTTGAGTTCTTGGAGGGTGTCGGCGACCATTTCCAGACAGTCATGGAGAGCGATTTTCTCACGTTGTGTAAGATTTGTCCTAAGTGTAAGCTTCTTTATGGTGAAGTAGTTCCGTTGGACTATCTCCTTGGTTTTGTTGACAGCCAGTCCGATGACGTCATTTGGCGTGTTGACCTTTTCAGTGACGCCGGAAAGCGTGGAGTAGCAGAGGTTAGGGTGGAGAGTGAGGCTACATGATGATTTGACGATGTTCGAAGAGTTAACTCCGACCACTATGAGTAGAATCGAAGCAGATACTAACAAGATCTTTGACTTCCTCGTGAAACCTGTCATATTAGCATAGAGGTGTTTGATTATTTGGGGTGGAGGCTAAAAATGAATGGTGACTGCCATATCTGTATATATCTTGTTTGCTATAACGGATATTTTCAATTATTTATTTTAATTTCTATTCATCTAGGCCCCATAATGTTTGGAACTATTGTGATTGATATGTTTTAGAAAGGGATATTTTAGTAATTTAAATCATAAAAATATCCCTTTTTTCTTCTGCGATCATTTTTTGAAAGGAATTATTAAAATATATATATTAAAAATGTCCAAACTTAACGACAGTAAACTTCCTATTATTTTGTTTATTTTCCTCCTTCTACTTCTGTTGGGTTATTTTTTACTATATGTTTGGTCTTTTGGGTTATTTTTTTTGTCAAGGATTGATTGGGCGATTTTTTTTTCTTTTTCTTTTTTAGAATAATCTTTTGACCGGCTGTGATTTGCATCTACAATTACAACTATCTATGTATTCCACCGTTACTGTACGCCAATAGCAATGTGATTGGTGTCACCTACTCAAATATAGAGCA